ATGCTTCAAAATATAACTATAGATTGGGCAATGCTAACCTTCCCCTATTTTTGCATCTGTGAGTGTTTTAAACTTTACCTTGGGTTTTTCCCCATTCCAAATAAAATTTAAGATATCTTTGTTCCATTTGTTAAAGCATACTTTCGTTTTAAGGATGGGAATTGTCTGAAAAAGGAAAATCATTTTGGGTAAAACACTCATTTTGATCATGGAAATTCTGCCCAGTAGTGACGGGTTTAGAGTTTTCCAATCATCTAATTTCTTTTAAAAGAAATTCCAGGTACATTCGTAATTATCTTTTAATATATGTGAATTAGAGGTTGAAATTAGGATTCCTTTTTCATTACTTCTATTCTTGATATTTCTTGCAGTTGTTCTTTTCTTTCACATGAGATGTTTTTGTTAGGATTTTCATCTTACTTTTGTTGATCTTAAAGCCCGCTAACCTTCCAAATTTCTCTATTTTTTGGATCCATTTTAGGAATGCTTTCATTGGGTTTTTCTACAATGCAGACCACGTCGTCTGCAAACGCTCTGATCTTAAACTCCTCAAATCTTACTTTTGTGCCTTGCAATTCCTTGTCCTCCCTTATCTCATCCAGCAAGATTTCAAGGATTAATATAAACAATAGAAGGGAAAGGGAGCATCCTTCAGGAAACACAGTTTATAGCATTGTCTTCTAACTTTTGCATTGTTCTGCATCCCCACAGATCAACAGTTGTTATTTACCTGCCCTACAACTCTGTGGTGTCATTTAGGCTGAGATGCAATAACTTTGGGGGGGGGGGGGCCACTTGCTGAGATACAAGCCAAAGAAAAAAAGTCACATTATTTCTGAGCTGAAACTTCTATTGGCTGGAGTTAAAGTTAAATAAAAGGTTTGTGAATTTAAATGTCAGAATACATGCACTGCAAAGGACAGTTGGGAATGGAATACCCATATCCAAATGGATGGGTTTTCCTGAAGTACAGAAGAAGGAGAAAGGTCCTTTCCTAACTGTGGCTTCTTTTAAATTGAGAGTAGGGACTAAATGGATGTGTATTGTCGAAGGCTTCTAATCAAGGTGAAAGAAGAAAGTGCAATAAACCAAGATTATGGCAACAAGAATGACTGACAACTGGGAAATAGAAGGAGAAAACGTGGAGGTAGTGACAGACTTTGTATTTCTAGGTGCAAAGATTACTGCAGATGCAGACTGTGGCCAGGAAATCAGAAGACGCTTACTTCTTGGGAGGAGAGCAATGACCAATCTCGATAAAATAGTAAAGAGTAGAGACATCACACTGGCAACAAAGATCCGCATAGTTAGAAATGGTATTCCACATAGTCAGTCACCTACGGATGTGAGAGCCAGACCATGAGGAAGACTGAGTGAAGGAAGATAGATGCTTTTGAATTATGGTATTGGAGGAAAGTTCTGAGAGTGCCTTGGACCACCAGAAGATCCAACCAGTACATACTTCAGGAAATAAAGCCCAACTGCTCATTGGAGGGAAGAATAGTAGAGGCCAAGATGAAGACAATGATGCTGGGGAAAATTGAAGGTAAAAGGAAGAGGGGCCAACCAAGGGCAAGATGGATGGATGGTATCCTTGAAGTGACTGGATTGACCTTGAAGGAGCTGGGGGTGGTGACGGCCGACAGGGAGCTCTGGCGTGGGTTGGTCCATGAGGTCACAAAGAATCGGAAACAACTGAACGAATGAACAACAACATTGAAGAAGGCTTTCATGGCCAGAATCACTGGGTTGTTGTAGGTTTTTTCGGGCTCTATGGCCATTTTCTAGAAGCTCACAACCTCTGAGGATGCTTGCCATAGATGCAGGTGAAACATCAGGAGAGAATGCTTCTAGAATATGGCCATACAGCCCGAGAAACCTACAACAACCCAGTAAATGGGTGTGTATTATTTAAGGCCTTTTTATTGCATCGGAAACAGAGGTACAGTAGAGTCTCACTTATCCAACCTTCGCTCATCCAACGCTCTGTATTATCCAACGCAGTCTGCTTCCCACTTGGATCCACAGCTATTTGAATACATTGGGATGTTTTCATAGAATCATAGAATCAAAGAGTTGGAAGAGACCTCATGGGCCATCCAGTCCAACCCCCTACCAAGAAGCAGGAATATTGCATTCAAATCACCCCTGACAGATGGCCATCCAGCCTCTGTTTAAAAGCTTCCAAAGAAGGAGCCTCCACCAGCAGAGAGTTCCACTGCTGAACAGCTCTCACAGTCAGGAAGTTCTTCCTCATGTTCAGATGGAAATCTCCTTTCTTGTAGTTTGAAGCCATTGGTGATAAATTTGTAAATACAGTAATTACTACATAATGTTACTATGTATTGAACTGTTTTTTCTGTTGATTTGTAAAACATGATGTTTTGGTGCTTGTTTTATAAAACTGTAAGATAATTTGAGGTTTAATGAGCTTTTCCTTAATCCCTCCTTATTATCCAACATTTTAACTTTTCCAACATTCTGTCGGCCTGTTTATGTTGGATAAGCGAGACTCTACTGTGCTGAGAGAATTTGAACCTGTGTTTGGGTTTTTGTTGTTGATGTTGGTAGTGGCTTTTCCCCCCCCAAACTATTGTAGCAATCTTAGAAATATCGAAATATCTTGAGTTTATATTGTGAATGAAAACTGTGTGATATTTGAAATAAGTCATCACATCCCTACTCAATCATGGAAACCCAAGGGCAGGTAAGTCATTCAGTCTCCACCTTGGACAGATGCAAAGCCAACTCTTCCCAAGCAAATCTTGCCAAGAAAACTCCAAGATAGGGTCACTCTACCATAACCTAAAGGCACAGAACAACAACAATATCCATAACTGATATTCCTTTTGTTGGTTTTTTGGAAATAGATTAGCCTTAGAAACAATGGCAGGCTTCATCTTTACAGTTCAAACCATTGTTTTGTTTACTTTTCATTGGTGCACCAAATATTCCAATTTCCTGTTTTTGTGGACACACCCTGTCTTGCTATAGTTTGTATTCTTTTAATTTTTTTTAGGGTTGAAAAAAATAAAGATTGGCTGCTGGCACAGCAGATGGTCCCATGCTGTCCAAATGCCCAAAGATCATCTCCCAAATCAGTTGCTCTACTCCCAACTCAGGAACTGAAAACATAATGTTGGTGGACAGGAAAAGAGATTTAAACATGGGCTTAAAGCTAACCTTAAAAACTGTGGCATAGACACCGAGAACTGGGAAGCCCTGGTCATTGAGTGCTCTAACTGGAGGCCAGCTGTGACCAGCAGTGCTGTGGAATTTAAAGAGGTACAAATGGAGGGCAAAAGGGAGAAATGTGCCAAAACGAAAGCATGTCAAGCCAACCCTGACCTGGCCCACCTTCCATCTGGAAAACGATGCCCTCATTGTGGAAGAACATGCGGGTCAAGAATAGGTTTCCACGGTCACCTATGGACCTACCACCAAGACACTGCATGTGGAGGGCCATCATATTCAGACAACAACAAATCGCCTAAGTAAATAAGGTGCCATGCATGTAATTTGACATTTAAAGGTGAATACTTTTCAAATTAAATTTAATAAACGGTAAATCAGCTTAAACTGTTTTCAACTTGTCAAGGATTCTGCTCTGAACGGCACTGCCAATGATCTTTACAGCTGATCCCACAACCAATTCCTGGGAGAAATTACCATTGTTCAAATTTTTCATTGCTTTTGGACTTTGCATCTTCACAAAGCAGACATACCTCACACCTCGCTCCAGCAGACAAGAGTCCTTTGCCCCACCCTGGTCATTCTACAGATATATAAACCCATTTTCCTACTTCCAACAGACCTCACTACCTCTGAGGATGTTTGCCATAGATGCAGGCGAAACGTCAGGAGAAAATGCCTCTAGAACAGTGGTTCTCAACCTGGGGTCCCCAGATGTTTTTGGCCTACAACTCCCAGAAATCCCAGCCAGTTTACCAGCTGTTAGGATTTCTGGGAGTTGAAGGCCAAAAACATCTGGGGACCCCAGGTTGGGAAGCACTGCTCTAGAACATGGCCATATAGCCCAGAAAAACCTACAACAACCCAGACATACCTCTCTTTCGTACCTATTATTATGGGAACTATCAGAGACGGTTAAAGAGGTCAACAAACACAAAGAAAGCTAAGCCCGAGGACTACCACTCAGATGCAACTCAAGTTCCTTCTAGCCTTTGGGGGGAAGATGCATTTTACAATTGCAAAACTGACATTGTTGTGCTAAAATTACGCAATGGGTTTTTGTCATTGTGAAGCCACACACCTTTCTCTGTTGTGAGTACCAAGCTAAAATTAGAAATGATACCTTTTGTTTCATACGGAAACTGGGTTTGATCACATGCTTGATTTTCAGAGTGAGTTGTCTTCTGAAAACGAAACCTCATGCAGGGATGATTAGATCTGAGGCTAAACAAGGCAGGGTAGCAAATGTTGTCTAGTGTGCTTTTCCTTTGTGTCTTTCTCCTAGCTCTGGGCCGCTAAGGGAATCCACCTTCACCTCCAAACCAGTCAACCTACAACCAACACTAATATAAGAGACACTTTCTACCCAAATCCATCCCCCATCCCACCCGCTTCTCTGCTTCTCCAGAAAGCCACGAACCTCTTTGTGTTCATAGCAAGGTAGTCAACCTAAACATGGCCCTGAACTACAGTCACCAGAGAGACTCAGCCAAGCTGCGGACAAAACGCTTGCCTGCAAATATAACCATCGCTCTCTCTTTGCCCTCCAAAAACATCGATGTATGCCTCAAAAGAAAAACCCACCGGGTGATGTGTGAAACCGTCCCTGTTGCCTTTCTCGACAAGGAAAGAGTCCCCCTTTGTCCGATCTCACATTGTAACTTGGCTTGGGACAAATAGCAGGAGTGGTGAATGGTTCATAGAGAACGACACTGCGGAATGCATTCGGTGCATCGCCTTAATTATTGTGCATTCGTATGAAGCTTTCCCCTTTTTCATTTCTGAAGAAGAGCCCAAAGAGAAGCTGGTTGATGGATTCTATATTTAATGGGTGTGTCTGTGAACTAGTTGCTATTCTGCTGAGAGGTCCCTATGAAACCCCATAAGTTAAGGAGACAGGGAGGGAAGAGAAAGAGAAAGAGGGAGAGAGATGGAGCTCGGGACACCAGAGGAAAGGAGGGAGGGGAAGGGGAAGGGAATGGCAATGGAGAAATCAGATGTCGCCTCATCTAGATTAAAAAAAAAGAGAAGGTGTTGGGGTTTGTTTGTTAGTTATTAGGAAGCAGGTGCTAGTTGTATAGAAAAGCCCTTTATCCGGAAATCTCTTCCCGCTGCTCCTTGTTCCTGCGCACCTCGGCTCCATGCAGTTCCTGAAAGACACAGAAATGGGAACATTAAAGGTAAAGGTATAAGTTTCCCCTGACATTAAGTCTAGTTGTGTCCGACTCTAGGGTTGGTGCTCATCTCCATTTCTAAGCCAAAGAGCCGGCGTTGTCCGTAGATGCCTCCAAGGTTATGTGGCCGGCATGACTGCACGGAGCACCGTTACTTTCCCATTGCATGGAGCACCGTTACCTCCCCGTTGCAAGGAGCACCATTACCTCCCCGTTGCAAGGAGCACCATTACCTTCCCATTGCACGGAGCACCGTTACATTCCCATTGCATGGAGCACCGTTACCTCCCTGTTGCAAGGAGCACCATTACCTTCCCATTGCAGGAGCACCGTTACCTCCCCATTGCAAGAGCACCATTACCTTCCCGTTGCACGGAGAAACGTTACTTTCCCATTGCATGGAGCACTGTTACCTCCCTGTTGCAAGGAGCACCATTACCTCCCCGTTCCAAGGAGCACCGTTACATTCCCATTGCATGGAGCACTATTACCTCCCCGTTGCAAGAAGCACCATTAGCTTCCCATTGCATGGAGCACCGTTCCTTTCCCATTGCATGGAGCACCGTTACCTCCCTGTTGCAAGGAGCACCATTACCTTCCCGTTTCACAGAGCAACGTTACCTTCCTCCTGAAGCGGTACCTGTTGATCTACTAATATTTGCATGCTTTTGAACTGCTAAGTTGGCAGACGCTGGGCCTAACAGTGGGAGCTCACCCCGCTCCCCAGATTCGAACTACCAGCCTTTCGATCAGCAAATTCAGCAGCTCAGTGGCTTAAACCACTGCACCATCAAGGGCCCCAGAATGAGAACATTAGATGTGGAATCCGCAAATTCCAACTGGTACAATGGGCTCCTAACTGGAGCTAACTATAGGGACCATACAATGCCCCTATTAAAACAGCTTTATTGGCTGCCAAAAAGTTGCCGAGCCAAATTCAAAGTGAAGGTTATGACCTATAAAGTCCTAAGTGATTCAGGCCTATCTTTGCGATTGAAGATCCACCGGGGAGGCCCTTCTCTCACTCCCACCACCGACTTTAGCGTGGCTGGTGGGGACATGGGGGAGAGCCTTCTTGGTTGTGCCCCCACACCTCTGGAACACACTCCCCAGGGAAATAAGACAGGGCCCATCCCTCTCTTCTTAAGAGCTTGAAGACTTGGTGGTTTCACCAGGCCTTTGAGAATTATTAGTATGAGCTCTAGCCCCTGGCCACTAGTTAGAATCTGGCCCTTCACCTCCACCTATTACCCTGGTCAGTTCCCCAATTGACTCAGGATATGAGCATCTACAGGCCCCATTACTACTATTGTTGAGTCTAGTTATTGCACTTTATCCATGCCCCTGGCCCCCTATGGCTTACTTTGCACTAGCCTGGCCATCCCAAATTTATTTATTTATTTATTTATTTATTTACAGCATTTATATTCTGCCCTTCTCACCCCACAGGGGACTCAGGGCGGATTACAATGTACACATATATGGCGAACATTCAATGCCAATTAGACATACAATGTATATAGACATACACAGAGTCTATTTAACTTTTTCTGGCCGCCAGGGGTGCTGTTGCTTTCATCGTCCATCTGCGACGCTGATGAAGTACTTCCGCATTCCCTGCATGCTTTTTGCTGGAGTCTTTTTTATGGCCTCATAAATTAGTTAATTTAGCCTCCCCACACAAGGTGGTACCTAATTTTCCTACTTGACAGATGCAACTGTCTTTCGGGTTGCAAAGGTCGACAACAAGCTACACAATTGGCCGGACACTCACTCCGACCCGGGCTGGCTTCGAACTCATGACCTTCTGGTCAGAGTGATCTTAATGCAGCTGACACTCAGCCAGCTGCGCCACAATCCCGGTATAATATTACCATGATACCAGCTCAGCACCCTCCCAATTAAAAAAAGCCAATTGGGGGGGGGGGAGGGGGAAGAAACCATAACAAACAGCACCCAAAATAATGGAGATGACAAATAAGTGGTAAAACTCAGCAATATCCAAAAAGGGACATCATTTGGAGTGACACTTGTTTAGACTCATCTGAAAGAGCCACCAGTTTGTTGGGACCTAGTGAAAGTGCCCAACAGTGATGGCTTGTGATTACATGCCTCACCCATGATAGGAACTGAGCTGGCGTGTTTGCCATATCATGGGTGACGCCGGGAATGTGTCCTGCCAAGATTAAATGGGAGTGAATTTCTAAGGCTTGCCTTCTCACGGAGTCGCTCTCTCAAGGCAGCTAGGTGAGCTTCGCGGATCTCCTTGCTCAGCTCCATCTTGTAGTTGAGCTTCTCCTCAGCCAGCCGGCTGAAGTTGTTGTTCTCTTCCAAGGCCTTGTGCAGCACCTCCCGCTCGTGCTCTCGCTTCTCCGCCAGTTGCTTCAGCACTTGGGCCTCCTGGCTCTACAATGAAACCAGATCATGTTACTGTCATGGGCCTGGACTTGAAACTCACAACTTGAATCGGAGGACAGCTCTGCAGCTCTCCCTGGGTACATCTGCACTGACCACTTAGCTCACTTGTGAGCTAGAATAAAATAATTTGTTTTCACTGTGCAGATGGTTAGACTGACCTCTATGGAACTGGTTTGAGGCCCAGATGATGATAATATTGTTGGACAGAAATGCCTGAGCATTTAATCCATGTGTAAAATACAGATCTGATGGACATGTGACAACTACCTGACTGGAAAACTATAAATTACGTACCAGCATCCTGTGACAAACACCAAAATACGCACGTGCACATCAGCAGAGCGCTTCAGATGTCTACAAAACTATTTGTATTTTGCAGAGGTGACATCACCCTGCAATGTGGTTTACATTTGAGTGCACTGATATGCCTGAAGGTCTTCCTTTCAGACTTTCGCGCAATGTTGGTTGTCTCGGTTTAAATAGTTGAGGTGCATTTTTGCAACCTGTGATACATAACCACTGCACTTTGAAACGATCTCCAAGCTGCATTGAATGGTCAGTGTAGATGGGTCTCCTGTTGAAGGACAGTATTGACCTATCAGAAGAAGCAGCTCCAAGTCCATGGATCCAACAGAAACAGTCGATGAATCTCCTTTCCAAAAAAAACCAGGAAGTGCACTCTTAATTAAGTATAAGCAAAAGTCTGCTTTGGCCACATCTTGCAATGGAAACAATTGTCTTCTTTTCAGCTAGTGTGTCTATGGAGCTGTTGATGACTCAAGTGACCTCAGACTGCCTGTTGACTCTGCTTGATCCTTTGGATCAGTTGATGAAACCTGGATTTTTTTTCCCAAAACTGGGACCTCTTCTGATCAAACCTTGCAAAGAAAACCCTGCAAAACTGGTTAACTAGAATTTTGGAAACATTCTGTTCTCAATAGGGTCCATGGCATTTTCTTAGACAAGGAGCACTCAGAGGTGGTTTGGCCAGTTCTTTCCTCTGAAATATACCCTATAGGACCAAGTATGGGCAAGCTTCGGCCCTCCTGGTGTTTTGGACTTCAACTCCCACAATTCCTAAAAGGCTACTGTTAGGATCTAGTATCTAGATCCAGGGAAGTCATGCTACCCCTCTATTCTGCCTTGGTTAGACCACACCTGGAATATTGTGTCCAATTCTGGGCACCACAATTGAAGGAGATATTGACAAGCTGGAATGTGTCCAGAGGAGGGCGACTAAAATGATCAAGGGTCTGGAGAACAAGCCCTATGAGGAGCGGCTTAAGGAGCTGGCATGTTTAGCCTGAAGAAGAGAAGGCTGAGAGGAGACATGATAGCCATGTATAAATATGTGAGAGGAAGTCATAGGGATGAGAGAGCAAGCTTGCTTTCTGTTGTCCTGGAGACTAGGACGCAATGGAAGAAGGCTTCAAACTACAAGAAAGGAGATTCCATCTGAACATTAGGAAGAACTTTGTGACTGTGAGAGTCGTTCAGCAGTGGAACTCTCTGCCCTGGAATGTGATAGAGGCTCGTTCTTTGGAAGCTTTGAAACAGAGGCTGGATGGCCATCTGTCGGGGGTGCTTTGAATGCAATTTTCCTGCTTCCTGGCAGGGGGTTGGACTGGATGGCCCATGAGGTCTCTTCCAACTCTGTGATTCTATGATTCTATGAAAACATTCTCGTGGAAGTCCAAAACACCTGGAGGCCCCAAGTTTGCCCATGCCTCAGTTATAGGTTCAGGTAAGTGTTGGCAGTCTCACGTCCAAGTACTAACCAGGGTTGAGCCTGCTTTGCTTCCAAGATCAAACAGAATCTGGCGCATTTAGGGATGTGGGAATATGGGCTGATTGTCCTCCAAACCATGGAAGAGTGACACCCCTCTTTTCTCCTTCTGCCACATAAGACTTCAGCCTTAGAAGAGGTTCAGGCCAAGGTGGGTCTCAGACCGCCCAGCCGGTCATTCCTGGACAACCAGCCGCCTGCCTTACCTTCCTCCTCTCCTCGGCGGCCTCCAGCCTCTTCTGCAGCTCCTCCAGGGACAGGTCCCTCTTCTTGGGGGGAGAGGAGAGGACAGGGCTCTCCGGGGAGAGATCCGAAGGGGACTTCAGGATCACCTCAAAGCTCTGGCCGGAAGCCCTCTTGTCCAGCTGCTTCACCTCCATATCTGAGTTGGAGAAGCACAGGAACCAACGTGAAACCACAGCATCAGAAATATCAGTCTACGTTTTCTGTAACATTATAAATATTAGCTGTTGGAAAAGTATAAACGGATTCCCAGGAGCAGTGCAGGAGAATTTCCTGCCCAGTTCTGTTGAAACCATAAAAAGAAACAAAATCTTGCTACCAGTATTAAAAAACTCTAAAATCATAACAGTAAATAAATAAATCAAAAACAGGGAAACTCCAGGCAAGAAACCATCAGGGACAGGGTTGTTGTAGGTTTTTTCGGGCTATATGGCCATGTTCTAGAGGCATTCTCTCCTGACGTTTCACCTGCATCTATGGCAAGCATCCTCAGAGGTAGTGAGGTCTCTGAGGATGCTTGCCATAGATGCAAGTGAAACGTCAGGAGAGAATGCCACTTGAACATGGCCATATAGCCCGAAAAAACCTACAACAACACAGTGATTCCGGCCATGAAAGCCTTCGACAATACAATCAGGGACAGCTAATCAACTCTCAACAATGGATTTCCTCAGGCAGTAACAAGCAAGACCTTGAAACTGCTAGGCTATTAAATGCTAATCAAGTTGGCCAACTGCAACATTCGCACTTGCCTCCAGCAGACAAGAGTTCTTTCTCCCACCCTGGACATTATTCCACAGATATATAAACCCCATTTTTCCTAGTTTCCAACAGACCTCATAACCTCTGAGGATGCCTGCCATAGATGTAGATGAAACATCAGGAGAGAATGCCTCTGGAACATGGCTATACAGCCCAAAGAATTTACAATAACCCACGTGAAAATTTGACACCAAAAAAATCGCAGTTTCAGCTTTTTCCTGCAGATTCGTCTTCTACTACTCTAAAGACTAAGGCCCCATCTACACTGCCATATAAAATCAAGGTTATCTGCTTTGAACTGGATTGTATGGCAGTGCAGACTTTGAGCCCTTCCACACAGCCATATAACCCAGAATATCAAGGCAGATAATCCACAATATCTGCTTTGAACTGGTTTATTTGAGTCCGCACTGCCATATAATCCAGTTCAATGTGGATTTTATATAGCTGTGTGGAAGGGGCCTTTGTGGTTTTTAACTTTGAATATGTTTTAATGGATTATAACTGTGAATTTTTAATAATGTTTATGTTTAATTCTATTTTAATGCTTGCAGATTTGTATATTTTAAATTGTATGCTAATGTTTTTTATGCTGAACCTCCTTCGGGAGAGATAAAGCAGGCTAGAAAGAAGGAGGAGGAGGAGGAGGAGGAGAGGAGGAGGAGGAGGAGGAGGAGGAGGAGGAGGAGGAGGAGGAGGAGGAGGAGGAGGAGGAGGAGGAGGTGGAGGAGGAGGAGGAGGAGGAGGAGGAGGAGGAGGAAGGGGGAGGAGGAGGAGGAGAGGAAGAGGAAGAGGAGGAAGGAAGGAGAGAGAAGGAGAGGAGGAGGGGAGGAGAGGAAGAGGAGGAAGGAGAGGAAGAGGAGGAAGGAGGAGGAGGAGAGGAGGAGAGGAAAAGAGGAGGGAGGAAGATGAGGAGGAGGAGGAAGGAGGAGAGAAGAGGAGGAGGAGAGGAAGAGGAGGAGAGGAGGAGGAGAGAGGAGGAGGAGGAGGAGGGAAGAGAGGAGAGAGGAGAGGAGGAGGAGAGGAAGAGGAGGAGGGGGAGAGGAAAAAAGGGAGGAGAGGAAGAGGAGAGGAGAGAGGAAGAAGGAGGAGGAGGAGAGGAAGAGGAGGGGAGGAGAGGAGGAGGAGGGAGGAGGAGAGGGAAGAGGAGGAGGAGGAGGAGAGGAGGAGGAGAGAGGAAGAGGAGGAAGGAGGGAGGGAGGAGAGGGAGAGGAAGAGGAGGAGAGGAGGAGAGGAAGAGGAGGAGGAGGAAGAGGAGGAGGAGGAGGAGGAGGAGGAGGAGGAGAGAAGGAGGAGGAGGAGAGGAAGAAGGAGGAGGAGGAGGAGAGGAAGAGGAGGAGGAGGAGGAGGGGAGGGGGAGGAGGAGGAGGAGGAGGAGAGGAGGAGGAGGAAGAGGAGGAGGAGGAGAGGAAGAGGAGGAGGAGGAGGAAGAGGAGGAGGGAGGAGGAGGAGGAGGAGGAGGCTAGTTGATGTTGCAATCCCGGGTGACAGCCAAACTGATGAGAAGCAACTGGAAAAGCTGACATGATATGAGGATTTAAAGATCGAACTGCAAAGACTCTGGTACAAGCCAATAGTGGTGGTCCCAGTGGTGATCAGCACACTGGGTGCAGTGACTAAAGACCTTGGCCTGCACTTAAAAACAATTTGCGCTGACAAAATCACCATCTGTCAGCTGCAAAAGGCCACCCTACTTGGATCTGCATGCATTATTCACCAATACATCACACAGCCCTAGACGCTTGGGATGTGTCTGACATGTGATTGAATACAAAAGCCAGCAGAGTGATCTTTTTTGCTATGCACTAATCTTGTTGTGTATCAAATAATAATAATAATGTGGATTATTTACTTTGATAATCTAGATTATATGGCAGTGTAGAAGGGGCCTAAGACACGATGGAGCAATGGATTCAAATGGCAGGAAAAGAGATCCCACCTAAACATTAGGGGGTGAAGTTTCCTGATAGTAAAACTGTGGAGTTGACTGGAGTCTCCTTCTCTGGATGGGCATCTATCAGGAGTGCTTTGACTGTGAATACTTGCATAGCAGAATGGGGTTGAAGTTATTAAGAGGTGAGAGTCCTTCAGCATGTTGATGATAGCAATCCTTCTCCTTTTCAGGAGGGACAGCTGGGGCTTTGCAAGGTCTGGACCGCAGCCTGGATGCCGTAATACATTGGATGAGGGCCGACACACTAAAGCTGAATCCTGTTAAATTGGAGGCCCAGTGGACTAGCATGGTAGATTGCAGCCCAAGAGTGTGCCAAGCTCCCCGCGTGCACACTGCTTTATTACAGTCAGCAGACCATGAAAGCAGCGTGTTAAATACATTTTAAGACAGAGCCTTGAGGCATTGAGGTCGACGCTATGCAAATAAATCCAGTTAAGCCAAATCTATAGATTTAAAAATGGAATATACTCAATCAGATAGGCAAGGATAATCTGTTTAGAACAGCCAGGTGTTATAATTTTGCCATGTTTCAAGTGAGCAATTTGTCAGACCCCTGGAGCAGAATAGCCATAAGTTATTCAGGAAACGCTGCATGATGGAGTATGCAAGATCTCCCTTGTCGCATAGTCAAGACTACAAGGGAAAAGTAGAAGACATGTGGTTCTAATTTCATAACTCTCGCAGGGGCAGCGACTCTCATCCAGAGTTTTGCTAAAAGAAGCTCTCGTTGGAGCACCTTAAAACTCTTGGGGAGCAAAGTCCACTAACTTCTGCTTGGGTCTATGGGTAAGAGATAGGAGGGAGATAAGCCTCCAAAAGCCTTCATCCATGGTGATTGTCAGAAAGTCAATGATGTCTTGGATACCAGGGAGTTGGGGTAAAGCATTCGGTGACAGCAGAGCCAGACTGGATACAGTAAATCCTGTTGGAAATAGCAACCTTCGAAGCCTCCACTAATTTAATGTAATGTTGAAGTCTTTCATGGCCGGAATCACTGGGTTGTTGTAGGTTTTTCGGGTTGTATGACCATGTTCTAGAAGCATTCTCTCCTGACATTTCACCTGCACTTGTAGCAAGCATCCTCAGAGGTTGTGAGGTCTCTGGGAACTAGGAAAATTGGGTTTATATATCTGTGGAAGGTCCAGGGTGGGAGAAAGAACTCTTGTATGTTGGAGAGAGGTGCTGGAGTTCAGCCTGTGATTGTGTTTCAGGATCAGGGTCACTCTGGACCGTGCCCTGACCTACAAGAAGCACTGCCTGAATATCAAGCAAAAAGTGGGTGCTAGAAACAATATCATACAAAAGCTGACTGGCACAACCTGGGGATCACAACCAGACACAGTGAAGACATCTGCCCTTGCGCTATGCTACTCTGCTGCTGAGTATGCATGCCCAGTGTGGAACACATCTCACCACACTAAAACAGTGGATGTGGCTCTTAATGAGACATGCCGCATTATCACGGGGTGTCTGCGCCCCACACCACTGGAGAAATTACACTGCTTAGCCGGTATTGCACCACCTGACATCCACCGGGAAGTAGCAGCCAATAGTGAAAGGACCAAGGCAGAGACATCTCCATCTCATCCCCTGTTTGGGTATCAGCCAGCACGTCAACGACTTAAATCAAGACATAGTTTTCTTAGATCTACAGAGACACTCGCTGGAACACCCCAGCAAGCGAGAGTCCAAAAGTGGCAGGCCCAAACCCAGCACCTCAATTCATGGGTGATACCAGATGAGAGACTCCCCCCTGGGCACACAGAAGACGGGGCAACTTGGAAGGCGCTGAACAGACTGCGCTCTGGCACCACGAGATGCAGAGCCAACCTCAAGAAATGGGGCTACAAAGTGGAATCCCGACATGCGAGTGCGGAGAAGAGCAAACCACTGACCACCTGCTGCAATGCAACCTGAGCTCCGCCACATGCACAATGGAGGACCTTCTTGCGGCAACACCAGAGGCACTCCAAGTGGCCAGATACTGGTCAAAGGACATTTAACCAACTACCAAATTTGCAAAATCTGTGTGTTTTTTTTCTTTTTCTTTTTAATCTGTGTGTTTGTTTTGCTCTGTTAGAATTGTAATACAATGGTTGCTGATGACACGATAAATAAATAAAGCCTATAAAGCCCTAAACGGTTCTGGTTCTGAGACGCAGTTCAGCCGGTAGTGGATTCAAATCAGTCAGGTTTAGGTTCACAGCAGCCTGGGAGGAGCTAAAAGGGGGAATTTTCCTTTTAACAGATAGTGCCTGTTTCCTGTAAACAAGATTGCAAGAGCTAATAGACTGTTAAGCCTGTTTGTTCATTAATAAAGAACTGTTATATTTCTCAAGCCTCATAAAGACTGCTTAATAAGGGAAATTTTCCTAAAGGCTTCTTTTTGGGGCCCCTGGCTTCCCGCTGGATGCAAGCCTAACATCCTCTCTTAAAAGCACCTCATTTCGGCTCCAGCGGTGACAGAACAAATAATAATTATAATAATAATAATAATAATAATAATAATAATAAATCTTTCTTTATATCCTCCCTAAGTGGGACCCAAAACAGCTCACAACATTTAAAAAAATACAAATCAACCATACATAAACAATAAACAATAAGGAAGGGAAGGAGGAAGAGAAGAGAGGAAGGAAGAAAAGAGAGAAAGGAAGGAAAAGAAGGGGAAGGAAGGAGAAAGGATGAAAGAGGAAAGGAAGGAAAGACAAAGGGGAAGGAATAATGTAAGGAAGGAAGGGAAGGAGGAAGGAAAAAAGAGGATGAGAATGATGGAAGGAAGAGGAGGATAAAGGAAAGAGAAGGAAGAAAAGACAAAAGGGAAGGAATTAAGGACAAAAGGGTGGAAGGGAACAGAGAAAGGGAGAAAGAGGGATGGGAGGAAAGAGAAGGAAGGAAATACATAAGGAAGGGAAGGACGAAAGGGTGGAAGGAAAGGAGAAAGAGGGAGGGAAGGAGAAAAAAAAGAGAAGGAAGGAAGGACAAAAGTTGGAAGGGAATGGAAGGAGGGAGAAAAAAGGGAGGGAGGGAAGAGAGAAGGAAGCAAAGACAAAATGGAAAGAAGGAAAAAGAGGGAGAGAGGGAGAGAAGGAAGGATGACAGGGTGGAAGGAAAGGAGAAAGAGGGAGGGAAGGAGGAAGGAAAGATAGAAGGAAGGAAGGATAGGATGGTGAGAGAGAGGAGGGCCTGAGAAAAGAGCCCAAGGGGACACTTCCGGCCCCCAGGCCTGGGTTTGCCCATACCTAGGATAAAGCATTCGGTAACAGCAAAACCAGAACTGGATATAGCAAATCCTGTTGGAAATACCAAGCCTCCACTAACTGTTGGAAATGTGTTTAATTGTTAACCTATATTGTATGCTTTTAGACCTCAATAAAGGTGGATGCAGTTTGTTTCCTTTCAGACTTCAGTGAGTACAGTTATATAGTTTGGACTATATCAATATGTTTAAAGACATTGGACTATGGACTTGTATGCCGAATATATACAAGAAGTTTGTTAGTAAAGTTAAGATGTTATTTTTCAAAGAAGACTACTTAGTTTTGTCTCTTGAATGCATATTTTGAACTAAGAGGTTTCAAGGGAGAGTATATGTTTTGGGTAACTGCAAATTTAAGATGCAAAGAAAGCAACCATCCTCTGCTATCCAAATATGTTTTTGTAGTGGCCTTTCTTTATCCTTGGCAATTGAAAAGACATGGTTCTTCAGTTTAACAGCTGAGTTACCTGTGTGCCATTACATGAATGCTTATGAATATCACTTGTTCAGAAAGTTGACTTCTAACAAGGTCATGCTTTTCTTGACTCGTGGTTTTCAAAAGGTACTCTCCACATGTTCATGGAGATCCACATTTGCCAAAAGGATGTGATATCATTTTTACCTTTTCGATAAGGTTATGGTGCCTTTATTTCCAATAGGTTATGGAATTTCCAATAAATCCATGCCAGACACTGTAAGGACTTAAACAAGACCCAAAATAAAGAGAAAACCGAGTAGTGGGTAAAACAGCTTGCCTCGGCTTTCCATATTGCTTGGGAAGCATTTCTGGATCCCTCTTGGGTACTGGAAATCCTAATTGGCTCCAGGTTCAGAGTACCTGGGGCTACATTATATTGATCCACCAACTATAGTCTTTATTGGACAAGGATAAATTAAACTACCATCGATCATATACTAAGAAGTTCCCAACTGGGCTACCGGAATGTATTGTATGTGGGGCTGCCCTTGAAGATGACTCAAAGCTACAGCTAGGACAAAATATAGATGCGAGATTGCTGATTGCAGTACTGTACAGATACTATATAATACTGTTCTTAAAGAAGATGAACTGGATGAGTATAATGTGCCACGGATGAGGTTGACAAGACTTCCCAGTCTGACATGCAACTAGGCGATAAAGCTGGACCTCTTCCCTGTGTGTGTGACTTACCTCCATACTGGTAGATGGTATTGGGGTGTGGCTGAGTGTGGAAACAGGAACAGATCAATGAAATAAGAGACAGCTCCTTCATTTTCTCTTTGTAGGCTGGAAAGAGAGAAAAGAACCCTTCCATGAGCAAAAAGGTCTAGCAGAAGCAAATCATCATTTTCAGAAAGAGAAAGGCAAAATGATGCTGTTTTCAGGGCTGGGGTGATGTTGAGTGAGCCTTGGAGGACTGCCCCACCCATTGTAGATCTTCTAAATCGCAAGGAAACAGAACCAAAAGCATTGACATTTTGTCTTTTTTTAAATCATAAAGCAAAGTTGTAATACAGCTTTAATATTTAAGGTATACTTCCTGAGAGATGTCCGGTGGTGCAATACTGGCTAAACAGTATTAGTTCTCCAACACCAGTGGCGCAAACAATGAAAGGACCAAGGCAATAACATCTCCGGCCCATCCCCTGTTCGAATATCAGCCAGCACGTCAATGCCTTAAATCAAGAAATAGTCATCTCAGATCTACAGAGATATTCACAGGAACACCTCAGGAAACTAGAGTCCAAAAGCGGCAGGCTAAATCCCAGAACCTCAACCAATGGCTGATACCAAATGAGAGACTCCCTCCTGGGCACACAGAAGACTGGGCGACTTGGAAGGCACTGAACAGACTGCGCTCTGGCACCACGAGATGCAGAGCCAACCTTAAGAAATGGGGCCACAAAGTGGAATCCACGACATGCGAGTGCGGAGAAGAGCAAACCATAGACCACCTATTACAATACAGTGTGAGCCCTGCCACATGCACAGTGGAGGACCTTCTTGCAACAAAACCAGAGGCACTCCAAGTGGCCAGCTACAGGTCAAAGGACATTTAGTATAGTGCCAAGTTTTTCAACATTGTTTGTGTTTTTAAATATATTAGAACTATACCCTCGGTTTATTTCAGGCATGATAAATAAAAAATACATAAGGTGAGAAGTATTGAATATTTATCAATTGACTTAAGGCCGCTGGCATAAGAACTAGTTCTAAGCCAGTTTTGTACAGCTGGGTTCAATGGACTATATCTGCTACGAGCGAGCAGACTAAAAGTCAATCCTGCAAAAACTGAGATACTCTGGCCCGGCCAGCCGCCAGAATTAATCCAGTCTCTGCCTGATTTCGAAGGGGAAGCTCTGGTTCCGTCTGCCACTGTTAAAAGCCTTGGGGTTGTGTTGGACTCATCGCTGACGATGGAGGCCCAGATCACTGCCATAAGTAAGCAGGCCTTTTTTCATCTTCGACAGGCAAGGAAATTGGCATCCTACCTTTCGGTAGAAGCATTGGCAACAGTAATCCACGCAACAGTCACCACGAGGTTGGACTATTGCAATGCCTTATATGCTGGCCTTCCGAAGTCAACAACTCAGAAGATTCGAATGGTCCAAAATGCGGCAGCCAGGCTGCTAGCAGGATCATCTCTAAGATCCCATATTACACCGATTCTGCAACAACTGCATTGGCTACCAATAGGACATCGGATCTCTTACAAGATACTGATCCTGACATTTAGAGCTCAAAATGGCCAAGGACCTTTATATCTTAGGGACCGCCTCATTCCTTTTCTCCATCAGTGGTCACCTCGATCCACCCAGGAAAATCTCCTCTACATACCGGGTCCTAGGGAGGCACATTTGGAAGCTACAAGGCGTAGAGCTTTTTCGACCTATGCTCCAATTCTGTGGAACTCATTGCCTCCATATATTAGAGCAATGTCGGAGTTGCGACCTTTTGCAAAGGCGCTCAAGACTTGGCTGTTTGGTTGTGCATTTAAGTAACCGGATCAAATTTTGCCATAGTCACTGCTGAATGTTTTTATGTTGAATGTTTTATGTTGAATGTTTTTATGTTGAATGTTTTTATGTTGAATGTTTTTATGTTGAATGTTTTTATGTTGAATGTTTTATGTTGAATGTTTTATGTTGAATGTTTTTATGTTGAATGTTTTTATGTTGAATGTTTTATGTTGAATGTTTTTATGTTGAATGTTTTTATATTGAATGTTTTTATATTGAATGTTTTATATTGTGTATAAACTGTTTTAAATTGTAAGTCGCTCGGAGCACCTTGGTGGAGAGCGACTAATTAAGAAATAAAGTGATGATGATGATGATGATGATGATATCAGGGGTGTCAAATTTATTTCCATGAAGGGCCACATCAGCGTTATGGTTGCCTTCAAAGAACTGTTGAATCTATAAACAAAGAATCTGTGGACACAGAGGGCAACCATAATTCTTTTACATAGTGATTGGTGCTGTTTAGTTTTTACCCAGTTTGTGGCCCTGGATGTTACTGAATGACAACTCTTACCACTTTTGCCATGTGGACTGTGGATAATGGGAACTGCAACTCAAGAGAATTAGTGGCTCTCGGGTTGGGGAAAGGCTAAAGGACATTTTAAAGTCAAGCATCGTATCCACAAGCCTTGTATCTAAATCCAAACTCCACTCTCCTGACTAAACAGAACAAGCTGCAGACTTCCAGATGTTGTACATCGCAACTTCCATCATCAGCTCTAGTCATGATGTCTAATGATGAAGGATACATGAGTTGTAGTCTTGAAGGCCACACAAAAGGACATAGCGGGTTGGATTTGGCCCACAGCCCTTGAGTTTGATGTATATGGACTAGATCCAGTTATTAGACCCAACTATAATAGAATCTTAGAGATGGAAAATGCCACAAGAGCCATCTAGTCTCACTGAACAAATGCAAATTTGATATATCAATATTTAGGTGAAGTCATAGAATGATAGAATCAAAGAGTTGGAAGAGACCTCATGGACCATCCAGTCCAACCCCATTCTGCCAAAAAGCAGGAAGACTCAATTCAAATCACCCCTGACAGATGGCCATCCAGCCTCTGTTTAAAAGCTTCCAAAGAAGGAGCCTCCACCACACTCCGGGGCAGAGAGTTCCACTGCTAAACGGCTTTCACAGTCAGGAAGTTCTTCCTCATGTTCAGATGGAATCTCCTCTCTTGTATTTTGAAGCCATTGTTCCTTGTCCTAATGTCCATGGAAGCAGTAAATAAGCTTGCTTCCTCCTCCCTGTGGCTTCCTCTCACATATTAATACATGGCTATCATATCTCCTCTCATCCTTCTCTTTTTCAGGATAGACATGCCCAGCTCCTTAAGCCGCTCCTCATAGGGCTTGTTCTCCAGACCCTTGATCATTTTAGTCGCCCTCCTCTGGACACATTCCAGCTTGTCAATATCTCCCTTCAATTGCAGTGCCCAGAATTGGACACAATATTCCAGGTGTGGTCTAACCAAAGCGGAATAGAGGGGTAGCATGACTTCCCTAGATCTAGACACTATTCTCCTATTGATGCAGGCCAAAATCCCATTGGCTTTTTTTTGCCGCCACATCACATGGTTGGCTCATGTTTAACTTGTTGTCCACAAGGACTCCAAGATCTTTTTTACACGTACTGCTCTCGAGCCAGGCATTGTCCCCCATTCTGTATCTTTGCATTTCGTTTTTCCTGCCAAAGTGGAGTATCTTGCATTTGTCCCTGTTGAACTTCATTTTGTTAGTTTTGGCCAATCATCTCTCTAATCTGTCAATATCGTTTTAAATCCTGCTCCTATCCTCTAGAGTATTGGCTATCCCTCTGTCCACTGATCCAATGGGTTTTGTTCTATTTAGGATCAACAAAAATGGGATTTGGACTCTTATTTATTTACTGTATTTGCATACCGCCTTTCTCAGCCTATTGGTGACTCAAGGTGATTTCCAACAAAACAGTATACATAATATCATAATACAGATTAAAACATTAAAACAGTATAAAACACAACAAAGTCAATTTAAAAACAACATCATTAGCGTCTCCTTATTATCAAGCATTGTCCAGTTCCATCGTCAAGTCGTTAGATTTCCTATATCAATTACTCTGCATTTGTAAACGCTTGCTCAAATAGCCATGTTTTAACTTGCCTTCGAAACGTTAAGATGGAGGGAGCAGATCTAATCTCCCTAGGGAGGGTGTTCCATAGCTGAGGGGCCACCGCTGAGAAGGCCCTGTCTCTCGTCCCCGCCAAACGTACTTGTGACGGAGGCAGGACTGAGAGTTGGGCCTCCCCGGACGATCTCAAGGTCTTTGATGGTTCATAAGGGGAGATGCGTTTGGACAGGTAAGTTGGGCCAGAACCATTTAGGGCAGGGGTTCTCAACCTTCCTAATGCGATGACCCCTTGATACAGTTCCTCATGTTGTGGTGACCCCCAACCATAACATTATTTGCGTTGCTACTTCACAACTGTAATTTTGCTACTGTTATGAATAGTAATGTAAATATCTGATATGCAGGATGTATTTTCATTCACTGGACCAAATTTGGCACAAATACCGATACAAAATTCAAATAGTGGTGGGGTTGGGGGGATCAATTTTGTCATTTGGGAGTTGTAGTTGCTGTCATTTATAGTCAACCTACAATCAGAGCGTTCTGAACTCCATCGATAATGGAATTGAACCAAGCTTGGCACACAGACCTCCCATGACCAACAGAAAATATTGGAAGAGTTTGGTGAGCAATGACCTCAAATTTGGGAGTTGTAGTTCACCTACCTCCAGAGAGCACTGTGGACTCAAGCAATGATAGATCTGGATCAAACTTGGCATGGATACTCAATATGCCCAAATGTGTTGGAGTTTGAGAAAAATAGACTTTGACATTTGGGAGTTGTAGTTGCTGTGATTTATAGTTCACCTACACTCAAAGAGCATTCTGAACCCCACCAACGATAGAGTTGGATCAGACTTGCCATACAGAACCCCCATGACCAATGGAATATATTGTGTTTTGTGATGGTCTTTGGTGACCCCTCTGACACCCTCTCGCGACCCCCCCCCAGGGGTCCTGACCCCCAGGTTGAGAAACACTGATTTAGGGCTTTATAGGCTAAACCAAGAAGAAAGTGCAAAAGCTGGGTTGCAGCTAAACATAAAAAAACCAAGATTATGGCAACAAGAATGATTGACAACTGGGACATAGAGGGAGAAAATGTGGAGGCTGTGACAGACTTTGTATTTCTAGGTGCAAAGATTACT